AGCAAGCAGAAGACGCCTCATTTTTCTGTGTCGATATCTGTAACAGCTGAGAAAACTCTTGCAGACAGTGACACAGAAGGAAAAGGAGGAAATTGCTGGTCCAGGAGGTGGTAACGGTTGCAGATACTATAAACCGCATGTGAATAGGGCTCTCAGTTATCCCGTCCCTTGGGGTTATTCTGTTCCCTATCTTCTTCATTTTCTTTTTTCTTTTTTCCTTTTCCTTCTTTTTTTCTGAACACCAGGACCGTCATACTGACGGGGTTCAGTCGTGGTGTTGAACTAAGACGTATACGACTTAATAGATCGAAAGGTCTTGCCTCATTCGTTCTTTCCACTTTCTCCTTTTTTCTGTCTTATACACCTTCCTTACTTTGACACCCAAGATCAACCTGGACGCTACAATCTGTTTACTCAAGAATCGAATTGAACAGGGTTTGTTTCCCTTTCAGTAGTACTTTATCAATGATTTTGAGGGGACAGGTCTTTTGGCAGGTCGGGATCGATGACCTAGCTATTGACATCACATGGAACTGTTTCTTGTCGACAGTTTTGCTTGGCTTAGTTCACTGTGCACTGTTAAAAACTGTAGTTTTGAAGTTCTGCGGAACTGCGGGGATTAATTAGCAATGGGAACTCGAGAACAGCCGCATTTTCAAGAAGCGAACGAGCGCATGCTGGAGCCGATGATTCGGCTACCGCTTGTGGATATGCTCCGAAGACTCAGCTCAAAACAAGGTAACTGTGTCTATCATTGAGGCAAGATTCTGCGCTAAATTCAGATTTGGTTTGGACGTATTTAAGGTAAGGGGTGAGACTCTATCACACTATTCCAGCATCCGTGCAGTGCAAAGATGCATATTGTCAAGAATTTTTTTTGTATTTTTGTTTGCATGCGCGAGAGGGGGTGTGTGTGTCTGTGTCTGTCTGTGCGCCTGTATAGGTTTTTCATCTCAAGACCCACAAAAGCTGAAACTCTGACAGCCTAGTTTACACAATATAAGGCCTTCTATCGACAAAGTAAGCTATAGAGAGCTATAAGCAGAGAGCTATAATTTTATGACTGTAAACAAAGCCCACAGATGTGCTCGTGAAAATAAAATGAGCCTTTCAGTCCCCATATATCTCACGTACGGACACGTGAAATTTGACGTAGACAAATTTGTAACTTCTAAATTGAAGCGGCTAGAAGACTGAAACTTTCTGAGCATAACCGACGGCTATATTTGTGCATGTGGGCCTGAGAGTAACCTTCATGTTCCTTCGATTTCTCACATACAAACATGTGAAATTTGACGTAACTCCATGACTGAAGCACCTAGAGCGCTAAAATTTTTTATGCATAACCCTTGGACCGTGTTTAGGCATGGACATGCAAAAGCAACATTTATTTTTCGTCCCACTGTGATCACGTGGAATTTTGACGTGATCGCTAAACCAAGACAGTCAAAGTGCTCAGATTTCCTGAGCATGTCCTACAATCGTGTTGGGGCAGTCACACATACGAAGAACATTCATGTTTTATCCTCACGTATGAACACGTGGAATTTGACGTAGCCTCGCAACCAGAATAGTTGCATTGCCAAGATTTTCATAAGATAACTCAAGGCCGCCTTTGGGCTGATGCACTTAGGGGGGAACTTTCGCGTATGTCCTCACGTACGGACACGTAAAGTTTGACGTAATCTTTTAACTAAGGCAGCCAGAATTCTGGAATTTTCCGAGTATAGTCCGAAACTGTGTTTAGGCGAGCAGATATGCAAACATCACCCATGTTCGCGTCACCAACAAACATGTGAAGTTTGTTGTAATTCCACAACTAAAGCATCCGAAATACTGGATTTTTTGAGCGTAATGATGGTTGTTTTTGTTGGGAATCATTCCAATAATTTTGACATCCGTGGTGATCAATGTCAATTCTTTTAGCTAGAAACATCTGCGAGAAAAAAACAGTACCGCTGGGGATAAAAACTTGCAAGGGCGAGCGGGGGGGG